TATCTGCGAATCTTATCCGTCCACGCAGTCTTTGTTCTTGTTTTTCTCATCCCCAAGATTTGGGAAGTAAACATTGATGTTGTCTACCAATTCTGGCTAGCAGACAGCTCTCACCAAAACGCAGTGATAAAATTCACCCTCGGAATAGAAAATGAGGTGAAAATTCATTTTCTCGAAGGAGGACTGATAGAACTCTGAACAGAGTTATTTATACGAAGCTGTCATGGAATGGTCACCTGATAATGGTCAGCTTTTACAGTTGGGTGCCAATTGGTCGTATACTAAATCTGATTCGATCAATTATTTTTTGATTTTTTTTAACACTCATATTCGGCGCATATTTAGTCGTGATGCTGAGGAGGAAGAGTTAAATCTTCTGAGAAATTCCCTAACGGGAAATGGGTTTCCGCCACGTTTTATAGACACAAATATGTAGTTGAACCCTATGAAATGTGATTTAACGTCTGTAGCCAAGAAAGTGCTGTGAACGATCTTTGAGTTCAAAGAAGACTTAGCTGCCGACACCCTTAGAAGAGGGATCTCACAGTCCCTGAAATAGACATCTGATGCAGCATTGTTGTTTTCCAGTCTACCATTATTCTTCATACACTGGCCAAGTTCAAGTTGGCACCATTTGTTGAAGTCTGTTAGTTTCAAGAGTAGTAGTGAACCATAATGTTCCGAAAAAAGTAGAAATATTAATAACGTTGAATCATTAATAAAAGTATTTTGTTCAAGTCGCTGAGAGGATGACTCGAAATCAAACTTATATAAATTTTGAAACTACCGAGGTCGTAATTGGTAGTTAGGTTCAAGTCACACAAACACGTCCAATTTTGGGCTGGACAGCAATTTAGAATTTCAGCTGGGAAGTAACGTCCTGGATATGAATGTCTTCATCTGTATCTCATGAAAAGTTCAGAATGTCATAGAAGCGATGCACAAAACTGTCTACTTTGGGACATAAAAATACTCATAGTGTACCACTAAGAGATTCCGCCTACCTCATTTATTTTTGATTACCTAAACTTCTAATAGCTTTTGGACTAGAGAATTCTGATACAAATATCGAAAAGTGGCATGCGGTGCGCTTTTACCTCCTTAAATTTAAAAAGCCAGCCAAGGAAACACTACCGCTTTTCTGTTCCATTTTAATTGTAAAGCGAAGGCTCTGTGCAGATAATACTGTCAATGAGAATAAATATTGCAAATTAACATGGCCGGCGAATCACTAGACAAACAAGAATGTAGATTTTCGAATTAGCAATAAACTTCATAAGTAACAAGAGAAGTAAATTAGACGGGGGTTGAGACTGTGACCAGTGAATTTTAAGTAAGACATTGATCAACCTGAAACATGAATTAAAACTGGCAACTGATAAATTACTTTTTTAAATGAGAATATTTAGCCTATGGATTAAAAACACACCTTTTCCTAATACAAAATATCTTGCAGATTATCAAATCAAACATCAGACCATCATCCATAATACCAACTTTTTATTTGGCCGAATTGTACCCTGTCACAGATAGTGGTTGATGTTTAAAACAATTTGTCTCTGTGGTTTAAGTCACAGGTTATCCCTTACACCTTCATGCTTGACACTTTGCTACTGTTGCATAGTGTGATGACAGTATTTTATTAAGGCCTTCAAGTAAAGTTTTAACAGGTAAGTGTAACCAATTTCCAACATGATTTGTTACATGTTACCAAGTTTAAAAGGTACACAAGTGTAAGTGTTACCAAATCATGATTTCAAAAAAGACAATCAGCAATGGATACCTATTATCGAAGTATGAACATTATGTCGTCTAAAAGTACCAAGAATACAATTCCTAACACTGCTATATTTATCATTTGTCGGACGAACATTTCCCTCAGTTATCTTTCTTAGTAAGCATTTGAGGTAAGATTTTAAATGTAAACCATGTGTGTCCACATATATGAGCCAAAACGTTTTTTTAACCAACTAATGTATACATTCGTTCACCATAATTCTGTCTTAAAACGTTTGATGGTTTGTTGTTTGTGAACTCTTCCAATAATTGTTCAGAGTTAATTTGTAGGAAGTATATACACTGAAAAATACCGTTTATTTTCATGTGGGGAATTGGAATCCTATGGGTATCTCCAACCCTTATTTATACACCATAGTAAATGGAATTTCACATAATTTACTACCTATACAGTAACAAGCAGTCCACAGAACTGTTTGTAATCCGATGATTATCCTCATGCATTTATCTTCATTCGAAATCTACGGCTTTGAGAATTATTATGGGGAATTCGACTTCAAACGGTTTTGAAGTAGCAAACAAACTGGCGAACTAACTAATAGACAGTCTTTCCGAGTAGAAGCATTTTCTACAACTTCAATAGGCGAATAGTTAAACCAAATGTATGCTGTAATATAACTCTGAGTTCATGGATATCAGATAACAACAATCCGCGTAGATAAGAACTGAATTACCATAATCAGATGAGCGATACAGGAGACACTTGACTAATTGGAACGCATACATTAGAGGTTTAATTACAATATTGTGTAGCAAGCTGAGAACTATAATAATTAAGCCATGTGAAGAAACACGTTTTACCAAATATTTCTTCACTGATTATAAATCATTATCCATGCTAAAGTGATAATCCAACAAGTATAATAGACATTCAATAAGTTTTACGAGTTTGACCACAGATTGATATCAGTTAGAGAACTTTTGAAACAGCTGTCCAGTACTCCCTGGATTTCATTGGTACTCTAAATGGTATGAATCCGTCTTCAAACTCGTAAAAATTAATCCCATGATAATTAAACCAAGTATCGCAACGGTTCCTCTAGGAACTAAAGGATACAATAATAATAATAATCGCAACGGTTAAATGTCACTGATATAATTTAAGCTGAAGTAGTATTTGCTACAGTAGACATACTGCACTGTTATTTACTGTATCAAAAAATAGCCACAAACTTCGATTTTAATTACACAAAATTAGTTTTTCGTAATCCCAAACTTTTATGCGAATACATTTACTCTTCTGCCTCTTTCAATGGTCAATTTACTGGGATAACTATTAGCAGTTTACGCTTGTATTATTTACTTCCATCTGTTTATCGAAGAATATTTCTGAAAGTTGAGCATGTGCATTTATTGATCGAAACTTTCACGTTTATTAGTAGCTACTTTCATCTGTATAGGAAAATTTAGTACAGTATAATACTTACATTTAATTAAAAAGATACGTTTGTCTGGCTGCCATAACAACTGTACGGGAGAAGAAGGTACAATCAGAATCTGTTTAGACAAATATCCTGTAAGCTGGAATCGATGAAGTTGTTGAATTCTGTGGTGCTTTCCATTTATTTGAAATGCAATTTGAATATATACTTTCTTCATAAAGACCATAGTTTCTACTGACTATGCGAATAGCAGCTGGCTGCTCTTTATCATGTCTGTGACTGGTATCAAATTAAAATTGCTGAATGTTCATCCGTTACAGTAAGATTAGGGGTAAGACAACATTTTCTGGGTTCATTGAACACAACATGATAGAAGCTTTCAAAACATCACACCCACAACGAAATCATCACTCCGGTACTTCATAAAGTTAGATTTGATATAAATGAATAGGAATATTAGTATACAATTGGTGGATGGTGGCTAGCAGTGGAATCCAGGATGCGCATTTCGTCCTATTTGGGACTCGTCAGCTGGATGTACCTGCATTTCTCAGTGAGTGATGATGTTCCCACCGAGGCTCGAACCCAGTACCCATAGTTTCGAACGCCAAAGCGTTATCCACTAGACCACTTGAGCCACGACAGCCACCTCTTGTGAGTGGCCCAAGTGGTCTAGTGGATAACGCTTTGGCGTTCGAAACTATGGGTACTGGGTTCGAGCCTCGGTGGGAACATCATCACTCACTGAGAAATGCAGGTACATCCAGATGACGAGTCCCAAATAGGACGAAATGCGCATCCTGGATTCCACTGCTAGCCACCATCCACCAATTTAATTATAATTAAATACCCAGACATCGTCGAAGCATCTGCACAAGAAGCCGACATGTCAACCTGAGACCGAGCACTTCGGTTCAATCAATCGACGGGAAAATCAAAAATTCAATTCAAGAATAGGAATATTGCCTAGCCACATGAGGATATGAATTGGTAGAATTTAGAATTCGTGGGCCATTGAGTCAGGTCCATCAGCCGAATGATTTACTAGCCTTCACTTTAGTCGGAAGATCCTGGGTTCAAACGTCGGAACACCTATCAAGTACTCCCTGTTGCTCTTCAATAGTTCCCTAGCTGATAACACGTGATAGTCGAGCAAATAAACTGAAAGTATTATACTTTGTATTCAGAAGAACTAGTCAAAAGACATCAGGACATTTGTAGTCGATAGACATAGTATCTCCTACTTTCGCAAATGTTTATACGTATTTCTGTAGTAGAAAACGTTTCAAAAAGCTATGGGCTTAACTTGCTTATTTTTTTGTGCTGTGGAGATACAGTTTTATGTCCTATGGGATTTATTGCTGCTAATGCAACCAACTCCCGTATTCAGAAACTCATTTTATTTTATTTTTTGTTTTTTGATTACAGCTTGATGCCACACTGTATTTTTCGCACAAGTATGGAATTTTCAGCATGAATATCGGTAGCCCAAATTTCGCAGGCCGACCATAGATATCAGGTGTGCGTCGGCAGGGGATCGAACCTCGGACCATGTGCATGGTCGGCGAGAGTCCTAGCCACTGTCCCACCGACGCAGTTTTTTCTACATGGAATATAATCGGGAATACGCAAACACACATTCGGGAAAACTGGAATTAAATGCCGTTACTTTGATAGTGGAGTGATCTGGCCTTCAACCAACTGACTAAAATTCAAATCTAAACTCTCCCACTCTGTAATAAACAGGCACCGATGACGAATCTGATAAGGACACGAACAGAAGACTTTGCAGAGTATCATTAGGAAAAGTGATAAGTGATAGGTTGTTAAAATATTTATTACAACCATGTTTATTGAAAATTCAAGTATTCGGTTTAAAAACATGCCAATATATATTTAGAGGTGAATCTGTTTTACGTCGTGGAACCTTCTTTTTTCTAATAGCCATCGCTGTAACATCCATCGATATTGCATAAACTTCGTTTCTCTTTACGTGGCGAATTTAATGCAGTACTTGACGACGACGGTATTTGTACACAAGGATTCGCATAACAGAAAAACTCAGATAGTGCTTCCATGCTCAGAAATTTGGAGAGATCCAATAACTTCTCTAAATGTGAACAGATATCTTGATTGGCTTGAGGGGAGCAAATTATTGACTTGGCTAAATCTTTGTCAACAAACGTGAAATCATTCCATTTGAAGTTGAGGTGTTCTCTTTCAGACAGAGGCTGAAAACAATGAGGAAAAAACAGTAAAATGAGATGGTAGTTACGACTGAAATATCAGATTTTATAACATATTTATTGTGTTGAACATTAATTCATCCCTTGCTTACTAACTCTGAGGTGGTTACTGTTATATGTAGAGCAAAAGTGTTTTGAGTTTCAAGCAGAAGATACATACTTTGACACTTTCTGATATTTGTACTCAATAACAGCGAATTCTCAAGCTGGTTACCGAAAAACAAAGTCAAAATTCACAACAGACTGACAGTGTTCATTTCTAAATCTCAACAAACTTTGTTTGACTTGCTTGGTAAGTGTAGAATGCATTCGCTTTCAATTTCATCCTGTTTTAATTGAAACAGACAGTGACTACTGACGATAAAATGTGCAAGAGATTTTCAAAGTTTTCCAAGTATATTCCAGTCAACACTTCATTTTCGTATATTTGAACAGAAACAAACTCAGGGTATTATCGAAACTTTGTCAAATTATTGTGTCAAACGACATTTGTTGGCTTGATTCTAATATAGCAGCATTCTTTATTTTTCGGAATGATTAATCGGCCCAACTTAAAATATTTATGAACAACTCATTTGAGCGTTAAGCATACGAGTTATTTCCAAGCTGTTCAGATTTGTTTATCTTCTTTCCGCATATCACCGTTTTATGTGTGTGATGTGCAAAACATTCTGTTTAACTTTTCAGATATTTCGTTTATCATGCTTCAAGGCTAATTGGACTCACTGTCTTATTGTCCCGAGTTTTAAATCACCTAAATGCGGCCATAAACTTAACCTTACGGAATTTTAATCAATTTGAAAAGAAGACACGGGTAAGACAAGGCTGCCTACTATAGCCAATGAGCTTCTTCATCATGGTGGTTTGGGTCATGTGATTGAACGTCGTGGGTGAAAAGACAGGAATACGCTGAAGCGACAAAAGGAATGTAGAAGATTTGTACATGATTTGTGTCACATTATTAACGAACTCGAAGATTTACAATCAGAAACTAACAAGTTGATGGAAGGGGCAGCAAACACAGGACTTCAGATGAACACAGAGAAGACAGATATGATGATGAAGATGCACAACCAACAACATTGAGGACCGATCAGTACCACGAGCGAAATTTAGAGGAAGTCACCTCTTTCGCTTACCTGAATAGATGATATGGTTTCAACTAAACAAGGCACAAATGAGGATATCGAAGCCAGGCAAGATCAGATTAGGAAAGCAAGATAGATCTTCACTGCTCTCAAATCAGTGTGTGGATCCACGGCACAAGGAACAAGATCCGAGTTTTAACGCTAACGACAGGTCACTGCTTCTCTATAGTTCAGAAACTTGGTGCACGCGTCACGTAAAGCATTTCCAACAAGCTTAAGACTCTTATTGACAGCTGCTTTTACCGACTCTATACCGAAAAGGATACGCGAGAATTAACTCTGACAACGATCCGACCAAGTAACTAATGCCCGATAAGTGGACGAAGATTTGTCATACCCTAGGGAGACCACTGAGTAACATCACACGCTAAGCCCTCTATGAAACGACGAATTTGGCTTCCGAATGCAACACAGTGAAGATGGTCTGATGAGGAACTGAAAGCGTGTGGAAAATCGTGGAGCCAGTCTAAAGGGGGAACAAGGAACACAGTGAGATGAAGGTGTGCTGCTGAGGCCGTATATTCTACACGGAATCCAAGGGCTGATTGATCATATTATTATAGTGGTTTGATAATATAAGCTTGTCGTGCGTCACTCTGTTGCATCAGTATTATTACAAAGATATTCAACTTTCTGATTATCTGTATTAGAGTGTAGACGATTCAACATTTCTTTCATAAAAAGTAAAGGATTACATTTCCATACGGGTGGTTCTCACTAATACTTCAATAACAAAGGAAGTCCAAACCTGATAAAACGACTACAATTACACTTGATATATTTATGTGGAGAAATGGTTTGAATTTAGTGAGATTGCTTCCCCAAATTAACTTTTCGGAGATACACATGATTTTAGTTCACCAATTATTCAGACCATGTTAAACTCTCTGGAATTTCGTTAATTCGATAAGTAGCTGAATACCATTAACATGTTCACAAATGGAGTAGTTGACAATAAATCATTATTGAAAAGTCTCCTACTGAGGGGTTGAAATGCTAATAAATAAAACTTTATCGAAAGACTTGTTGTACAAAGGCGTAGATCGAGACAGACTTTATTTTCACTCAGACATCTAATCAATTTGACTCATGTTGTTTTATAACTTGGGAGCCGGAGTAGTACTGGTGAATAAGTGTGATTGTGTAGACAAAATGAATTCGCTTCTAACGGATGAAATGAAGTTCCAAAAGCTTAGCAACCCAACACATATAGACGGAAAAGCTGAAAAGCAGTTAACTAACACGCTTAAGGAACTGAGAAAAGTGGAGTAATCTCGGAGGCAGCCTACAACCGTCTTAAACCTACTGGAAGTAATACTTCACGATTGTATGGTCTGCCCAAAGTACATAAACTAGGACTTCCTCTTCGCCCAGTCCTAGATATGTCTAAATCCACCTACCATGGAGTGGCAAAGTGGCTAGGCGAACTCCTCCAACCGTTACACAAGATGGTAAACCATAGTGCTAAAGAAGTTTTTGAATTCAGTTTTGTACCAACCCGATACAAAATCAATTTCGTCAGATGCCTCACGAATAGAGCAAGACGTATCTGTACAGATGACTCCCTACAAAATGAGCTAGGATACATCCAAAATACGTTGGTCCAAATGGGTTATCCTAGTAGATTTGTAAGGAGACACATGGATACCAAGTACAATAAAGATAAACTAACAACAGTTGAAAAGAAACAACTATTTATGAAATTGCAATTTAATGGGGACGTGGCTAATGAAGTCTTACATCAGGGATTATCGAGAGCGATAAAACGGACTTATACTGCCGCCACCCTCTGTTTGTCATTTTACAGCCGGCCTATTTCGATTGCTCAAGTGAAAGATAAGCTACCTAGCTGTGCCACTTCTATGTGTATCTATAAATTTAGTTCCTCCTGTGGAGAAAGCTATATAGGCCAAACAACTAGAAGGCTTAACAAACGCAATAATGAGCATCTTCATTCATCGTTCGGAAAAGGTCAAATAAAATCTATTAGAAGTTCTATTTTGGCTCATTTGATTGATGGTGGTCACAAAGTGGACAAAAATAGTGCCTTCAAAGTTATCTATCGCATCCCATCGAGCCTTTCGAACGGAATTCGAATCCGTCCTACACACATAGCCGAAGCTATGGGAATTCGAGAAAACAATCCTAGTCTTTGCATACAAAAGAAGTTTGTTCTACCTTTGTCTCTCCCTTGGCCTGGGTGAATTCTATTCAAAACCCTCCCACCCTTTCTTATTATCCATCTCCTTTCTATTTTTATGATATTTATTTAAAGTATGATTACCTGTCCACTTCACCTTTAGTATTACGTAACTCTTAAGATTTGAGCTAATTTATTTATTGCATTGTCTACATATACACATATTACTTACTACCTTTGTTATTCTCATCGCCACCTGCATAAACCTTATTATCAATATTTTGTTATCATTATAATCATCGTTATAAACTACGTTCCAAACATTTACCATATTATTATTGTTACTATTATTAATATTATTATTATTATTACTAGTATGATTATTATTTGATCCACAAAATCACCATCATTGGTTAAAAATCTTTACAAATAAAGCTATGAAAATTAGAGTGAAACCTGATGAAGATCTAATTGAAAACAAAATTGTTCGCTTATTGTTCTTGTTATTACTTGGGGTTTAGATATACCTTCTATACAGATAAATCGTTTTATCCCTTGGCGAAAGAAATGTGAGGTACCAGTTGTTAGCATTTAGGTAATCGTTTCATTCCTCATCTATTGGTTAGGGTAGTTGAATGATCCGACAAATTTTACTGTTATTATGTCCAGTATCAGTATAATGAAGATCTATATTTTATATCTAAAATGTATTTTAGATGGTGTGAAAAATAAATCAAAATATTCTGTTAAGTCGACAAAGCTAACAGTTTCTAGGCAAATCGATTCCAAGCCAGTAGCTGAACAGTAAATTTATCTCCCATAATCCCAGAGGTCATGGTCCGACCACTTGTTCAATCTCCAATGTATTTCAAAGTTCTAAAGTAAAACGAAGCACCTTTGCAGTGAGCTCCACTATTCATTTGTTCTGTTCGTAATAAAATCTATGTCGTGAAATGAAATATTGATCATTTTAAAAAATTCTAAAAAACTGACTATCATGAATAAAAACATTTCCAGGGTGATTTTGACAAAATCTGGCTTCCTACATTTTATGATACCTCATTTCACGTAGACTTTGCTGTGTGTTAGTGGACTATGCAGTGATACGTTGTCTAAATAATACACGTTGAACTGATCTGAGTTCCCTAAACAGGGACTTAAAATATCATGTGAAGGTGGTATTTTCAATTACTGAAATACTGACTAAATTTTGTTAATTTCTCATTTCCGAACACTTCTTCGTGATAAGCGTTTGTGATTTATCAGGTCAGCTAGTAAGCTCCGGTAGAAAATGATTCTACCATGTAAAAGTACATGAAAACAAATACCAATACAATGACATTTCGATTTTAAATTCAAAAGAATTACTTACGTGACTCCCGACATCAGCGAAGTAGAACAAAATCAAGACGTACCATATTGCACATAATCTCACCAATCTTGTATGTAAAGTAGTTGATAATGACGAAAACTTTGATGACGTGAAGCACATTTTATTCATGGTGTTTTTTTTTACCGAAACACGGTTACTTATTATTGAAAAGACTAATTACTGTTTGCTTATACTTATTTCTGTTAACAGTTTAACACCAAAGAATTGAGACGTTTTTATCCTTCTATGTGAATGAGTAGGTGTATGTCTCACTTTGTAAAGACTTTGTTTGATTGGTAGATTATGAGAAAGGCTGCTCAAAAGACAGTTAATTTGATTATCTTACATTCTGGATCTCTCCGATAAATCTAGTATACACGTATTATATGCATAATTTACCAATTAAATTACACACTGCTCGTTATTGCAGTACAACAGCTTTCCGACTGTTTTCACCAGTAAAGTAACATTCGTCCTATTAAAAATTCGCCGTTTAATATTTGGAATGTGTAAAGTGACTCCATCACAATCCGTTATTCTGTTTAAAATTTGTAATCACCATTAGTTAGTCCACATTAATATCAACTAATAATTAAGTTTTAAGACTAAGAGATACAAATAACATCGTGTCTTTTTAACGGGTGAGTAGTCATCTAATAATATTCAGTAAATACTAACTACAAGGCGTCTGTGAAAAATGCGTCTTGTCATCGTGTTTCTCAGGTGCAGTTTTTTTAAATGCTTGCAACTATTTCAGTGGTTCAGGGTGAACAGGATTTCAGAATGAAGCACTACATCTTAAATTAATCTTTACTAATTGCATTTATTTGTAGAATGTGGTAATCATACGACTTGTTGAACAATGAAAGGTGATAAAATGGTTTGTTCTCATAAAACATTGACTTACGAGAACTTATTTCCAGGTTACATTCATGAAGTCCCATAGCTAACCAAGTTTTTTTCCCCATATTACAGTTTCAGTAGTTCTCTTCAACTGTTTCTTCTTCATATCATGGTTTGTTATCTGTTTAGGAGATTTTTATGTCTTCTTAGCTGTATCCAATGTCAAGTTTTGGAACTTTCAGCACAGAAAAATGTAGGCTATTTATCAAACTGCAAGTGTAATGATATTAATTAATTTCATAATTATGTGAACATGCATGGTGTCTCATTCGATTATTGTGTCTAAGGTAAAGAACGAGTCATTGAGATGATTAATGATGACAGGATAGTGAAAGATGGTACTAAAAGAAGAGTCAAATTTCGAAATATTTGTCCTGCTCATACATAAATACAGTTGTGATTTCCATCTTACATTTAAGATAAAGCGTGGTTTCTTTATTAAGTCGTGCATTATGTTGTATAAAAAATCCAAACGACTTTTATGCTCATTTAACAGCATTACATTCGTAGTTTTACTTGCTTTTCTTGAAGTTGGCTTCCATGGATTCACACTTTTTCTAACCATTTTTGTGTCACTTAGTAAGTTTAGCGAATTTACCGTTTCTAATTACGGAGGAATTCACATTGTTTAGTGGTGAGACTATCTAGGACAGTCCTGGTGTCTCAGACTATAATTAATGCAGTGAATGATGATTGGAGTTGAAATGAAAATTCGGGTCACTGGAGGATTAGGATCATTCGCCTCCGAATTACAGTTCGGCCCTCAACCAGCTAAGCTGTGAGACTTAACTGCTAATCAAGGTAGTATATTTCCCGCGGCTAGACTGATTTCTGTGTACTAAACAGCAAGTCTATTAGTTCATTCAAAATTCGACAGATATCCTTGGTTTGTAGGCTGCAACCGCCTATATCAGTTTACTTTTGGCTGCCGAAGCAGTTACATTATTATTGTTCCCTCCGGTTCCGAGTGGAAAATAGGGCTTCAGTAACACATCTACACTTTTATTTTCTGTCATCACCTTCAGCTGGGAACACGACTGCCCATAATCTCTCATCTCTTCCTCGCACGATCTCCTCTGTGTCACTCTCGCACTGACAACACACTCGTCGCTTCCCATTTCGGTCCCACTCAAGCGATGGCCTGACGCTCGATGTCTTCAGAATGTATGCCCAACCCATTTCCATTTTCTCATACACATTTATTGAGCGATCGTCTCTTGGTTGGTTGGCTCCCACAGTTTCTTGTTGCTAATTCTTTCAAGTCAGCTGGCCATTTGATCTCCAAACTGGTTTCAGGTTGACGAAGGCGTATCATGCCTTTCCGATTCTAGCCAACTTTGACATCTCCATTCGTTCCGACTGCCTGTAGTTGAAACCATTCCTCCTAGATAAGTGAAGGAGGTAATCTCTGTTAAATCTATCCTGTTGATGGTAATTGGTTCTGGTTGTTGTTGTGGTTCGTTGGTTATCCTCATCACCTCCGTCTTCATTATGTTCACTTGCAGTCCTGTCTTCGCCGCCACCCTCTTCAGTCAGTTTGTTGGTTTTCGCCTACAAGTCTTCGAGTTTGTGTGACATTAGACACAAATCATCCATGAGCGGAGTCCAGATTTTCTAAAGTCTTCTCATCGGTGGCCCAGTGTATTCCTGTCTCGTCGCTCCCCACCCACAGTCTGACGCATAATCCCGTCCATCACAATTAAGAATATCATCGGTGATAATAGCCAGGCAGCCTTGTCTTACTCCTGTATGCACTTCGAACGCCTCGCTGAGTTTTCCGTTGTGAATCACCTGACACGTGACATTGACGTATAGCCATCCGTTGAATGAGGTTGATAAAGACTAAGGCACTGCACGCCGTAGTGTTGAAGTAGTTTCCAAATTACTTCTTGGTCAACGCTGCACTATTGAAGGCTTTTTCGAGGTCGATGAAGTTGAGATATATGTTTGACTACAATTCTATGCTTTGTTCTGTGATGACGATGTGTAGAATTGTGATTTAATCAACACTTCACCTTGAAGGTTCCTAGAACTAGAGGAAGGAAGAATCTCGGATTTCAATGCGTTGAATAACACCTTAAGTAATAATATTCTTAGGGAATGATGTATTACCGCAAATGAACTTATGTTTCTGGTTTGAAGACAGCTTTCCACATGAAGTATTCAATGTTTATTTAACAGAGGTAATTGGAAAGTCAAAATAGCGAATTAACAAGAAATGACGCGTGGTAAATTCCCAAAGTGACAATTTCACTTGTTTTTATTCGAACCTCTTTCGACTATTGATGAATTAGTAATTACGAGAAAGCGACTTAGTTGATTTAAGTCAACTGCTGTCATCCCGACAAAAATAACTTAAAATGTGTTTCATGATTCATTTTCGATATATTTTAAATTTACAACTGAAGTAAAAATCATGAACTTCAGGGAGAAAAGTGGCAAGTTCTCACTTAAAGCCCTATATGTATATTGTATCGAAAATTCAATGTCAAGACAATCTATTTTGAAGCTGTTAATCATTGTGGTGAACCATATGTAATATGCTTTAGAAAAGCTTGTCTTCTAGAAAATCAATGTGAAAATAGCATAATCCCTAATCCCACCTAAAAGTATGCCAAACAGCTTTAAAATCTAAGTTTCAAAATGCTCAGAAGTACTTATGGTAACTAACAGTCCAATGTAGATCAAACCAAACTTTATGCTAAATATTGAGCTGAAGATGTTCTCCATAAGGACGAAGAAAGCTCCACAACTAAACCAACCAGCTCAGAGAACACTATTAATTGCATATCGTTATCTCATTCAGAGGCGGAACTGAAGGGATAGAAACTGCTGCAAACACGCACAGTTTTGTTTCAAAACTGTCAAGAAATAAACACATGCGGCTCATTGAAGGAGCTCAAACAGACTTACCAATCTTGAAAAAGCACACTAACATCCACCTACTAGGTCAGAAGTCGTTAGGTTGAGATTTTTAATCTTGCACCTTAAAATTAATCGAATTCTTGTTCAATTCTTATTCAACTAACTTATGTGTACTAGCTCTCAACAAGACTCAAGACTGTAAGTCACAACCAACGCAATCTGACTAAGGATGACTGCTCACCTATGAAAGAGAAAAAAACCCTTCTGTTTCCCAAACCTCAGAATGTCAAACTAGTAAATTTTAACCTAGAATGTGAATGGTGGCATGTGTGCCTCAAAATCCATGGTTCTGTGGAGTCCTCAAAAATAAACTTATCCAATTTTTACTACTATGTAAGAAATGAACATATTGTACATTACTTTGTTTTAACCATAAACTCTCTACTTTGAACTTTACCTCGGGTTTTGAATGAAAATATAGTTCTGCCTTCGACTCTCCATCTTCTCCACCATCTCAACTGCCGTCGATCAATTCGAACCACCTGCTTTCTATCTCAAATTTTCGCAGGAACACCGTAGTTTCTTCCTACGTACTTTGGTCGACCTCCGGCAACGTCGACATTGGAGAATTAGTATTGGAGCAGCCTTCCCGCAGTATCTCTGGAGTCTATTACTTTTATTGTGGATTTTGGATTTTTGTAAACCCAAGTAACGAAACTTTAATATATTCTTCCCGTAACTAAACTGATTTGGTATTTTATTTTCTATTTGAATTTGGGATACTACGCTAACAGAGTAAAAGGTACTCCACAGTTTCCATCCCACCCACCCCCCTCCTGGAAATAGTTAGAAAATAGCTATATGAAATCCTTACACCAAGATAATAATCTTCTTATGGCTCTAGTTTTTCAGCAATTTTCTAGATCATGTCAGCTACAGATAAAGCCTACTTCGTGACCAATCAAATCGTTCCATTGATAGAATTTGGGTACCATACCACTAAATGTTAGGTCTTACATGAGTTCTGCTCTCAGAAGTTATCGCGCTGTCATTTTATTTAAACTACCCTAATTAATAAACAGTGTTATATTTAAATAAAACCCTTCATTTGTTTTTAGGTTTTAAGGAAAAAATGTTAGGACTATTAAGGTGGTGCAACAGTGGTGTAAAAATCACGATTTTAGAATATTAGGAAAAGAAATATATTTAACACAAGCAACAAAGGATAAAAATGCTGCTCGTTTTAAATTCGCATAAGGAAATAAATATTTACAAACCGATATTTACCGTTGACCAAATTGTGAACACTAACAGTAACAGACTGCACAATAATCCAAGAGAAAACGATTGCCAAGGGAAACTTCTTTGATTTGTTCCAATTTCATCTTGACTGGAAGAGACAGTTGGTCATGCGCATAGTGTCAGCAAAGGTAGCATTAGAAGTAGACAAGTAAAATCAGTCCACAAATGCTTGTGACGGTGGCCTCCATCTCCACTTCCTCCGAACCATATCCACTAATTTGTGGATAAAAATCAGAAATTAGACTGCTATTGTTCTGTGGTTAAATGGGGTTTTTATAAACATGACAGTAAAATTATTGAAATAGAGTGGGAAATATAACCGGGCCAATAATTTCTCACTCAATCATGAGGCTGTTTGTTATGATCATCATGAACCCATTTATTTTATTTTTGAAAAAACTAGTAAGCTTAATAACAGCATTCCCAGCTTAAATTAACTAGTAACTTCAAAAGTGAAAGAGGACTTCCCAACCCAAGGTATTCAGCTTTCTACTGACAGCATTTATAGTGTATATA